GAATAGATATTGAAACTTCACGAAGATGCTGTTCGAAGGAACAGGTTGTCAACCAGAGTCCATTTAATTCGTACCGTACGATAATTACGTTGTATCATTTAGCAGATAAACTCTCTACCCGCGTCCCGCCGTCGTCTACAGATAAATGTCCACAAACGTATTTAGTTTTTGACCAAACAGTGAGCGTGTTCACTCGAAAACACTATTTCGTCGTCATTAAAAACACACGCGGGAAAAAATCAGGTGAGGCTATTTCGAGGTAACGTAAAATATGACCCCCGCAAACGTTTATTTGATGAAGTGAGCGAAATATGGTGGTGGAGGTGGTCTTTCTTTTCAGCGGTCCATAGCGTGACACGGCATTTCTCGTAAAAATCGACACGTACAAAAACAAAACCATTTATTATTTTAATGTATAGTACACATATTGCACCGGCCGTGGCGAGGCGGTGCTACTGCATTTGACAGCGGTACGTACGTGTTTCCAACACACCGAGTCGTTATGCGAATATAAGTGAGAGAATTCAGGTGAAATATTATATTTGAGTGACAATAATTTTACAAGCGTGTGAGCGACTGAACTTCGCCCCTTCTGCCGCTCAATATTGCCGTTAAAACCGTCGCCAAAATATCTCCGACCGATAATTCTTAGAAATGTATCTAGTAACTTTTCATGTGACCAAAAAGCACACCGGGAAAACGTACGCGTGCTCGCCGGGTGTCTTGCGGCGTTGTGGACAGCGCGATCCCGTAAAACAAAGAGATTTCTTTGTTTGGCTTTCGATCGATCAATTACAATAAACACTTTCGGCACCCTCGTCATTCATAAGGACCGCGTACAAGAGTATCGAAAGCGGAGGACAGCGCGGCAACAACGAAAAAAATTATATTTTAGAGAACCCACCTGGCGCATAAATACGCGTTGGAGAAAGAAACTAGCCGGATGCACTAAATCAATCAAGGCACTCAAGTGCGAGTGTGACGTCACATCTCCAATCTCCAAACGAAACCGTCTAGGAGGACCAATGAGTGGCTCGGCTGCAGCATTAAGTGTATTTTATTTTCGTGTGCATAACGCGTCGTGTAATACTCTCGGCAAACACTGGAGGTCATACTGGGACATTAATTTTACATCCAAGAGAATGTGGCGCAACAATGTTACTGATTTTTTTCAATACTTCTTATTAAATGAGAAGTTATTAAAATGAAACACGACTGATAGGAAAATAATACCGTTTTGATTATGAAATCAAATGAACAGCGATTACAGTGGCAACGAAAGTTTTATTCCAATCGAGAACATCTCAAAACAGAAACTTTGTGTAATTTCGAAAGAAAACATTTTAGCTATAAGCTCTTTAACGTTATATAATTTAATTCGTTTTAGTATAATAGTATTCATTACGAGTATTTATTATTTATGTTTATTTTATATGTCAACAATAATAACGACTTAGGACGTACTCGGAATTAACGAAGCTAATCAAGATCATTGTAAAAAAAAATTAATTATAACTTACGTCTACGCGTCACGGGTGTACTATTTCAATAATTTAAATTAATTATGAATTTTCTATTTAAAATAACGCTTAAATGTATAAATATTATTCTTGATTTTATGTACGTTAATAATAAATTATATTAACATATACACGTGTAATACATATTTTATAACTATTATTAATTACTTTTGTTTTTAAAACGTAATAAATTAAAGAAACTATTTGTCACTTATTATTGCGCTAGGAAAGTTGAGGAATATAAGGTGACAGACACGACTAATAAATTATAACGGCGGTTTGCATACTTTTCTATGAAACTGATCACATTAATATAAAATAATTATGAAAGCAAATGTATTTAAAATAAAACTTATTAACTATGTAAAACATAGCAATTATTGAATCGGATGAATTGTATGTACAATAAATAAAGGCTACGAAAAAATAATAATAAAATGGGTCGTGATCGTTAAAAACAAAAATAAATTTCTACGTCGGGATATTCTAAGCGTGACTTTGTTTCTAATAAAATGATAAATATCCAACAAAAACATAAAATAGTATCGCCAAAGAAACCACAATTAATATAACATTCAGGTTAAAGAAATTTCTTTAAAAACTACTTGAACTATTACAAAAATATTTAACTGTAGAAATTTCAATTTTGTCAAGCATAAAACATTTCTATTATCATAACATGGTACACATTTGTGGAACGTATGATGACAAATAATTGACATGTCACACGATTTTATCATAAACACATTCATACAGCTCGCGGAGGAGATACAATCAAATTCGCAGAAAAATATTGTTGTTTAACTTTAATTGTTTGATATAACATACAATGATACGAAAGCCCTTTAGCTATATTTAACAATATTCATTTAGTCATTGAAACTTATAAGAATAGGACATCATAATTATGTGTTATCTGTCAAAGATAAAACGAAACCAAGACAAATTTAAATAGTCGTGATTGTGATTAGTAATAATTAATTAATGCTTAAATACGATGCATCTCAAATACATCACGTTTGTAACACGATTGAAATTATTATCGATTGCTTTTAAGTGAATCGACGTTGGTGTTGTATACCAATATATACGTAATGATGAAACATTACATAATGTAATTTACACAGAGCTATACATGCAATGAATCATTTCAAGATGTCCATGGAGATTACACTGTACTTTTTTAAATAACAGAATTCGTTGCCAGTAATGAACGTCTCCCGCCAGAGAAGTTCACGAGAGTAAAAATTTAAGATTCTAAACAAGTGACGTGAAAGAGCATTAGTACTGATAAAATAACTGAAGAAATTCGTTAACATTATTTCTATACGAAAAGTAATTAACGGAGAAATGATGTTTTGCATTTGTTTATCAATACTATAACACGTATTAATTTAATTTTAATTATCTACCTATGAGCGGTATTTTTAGAGATTTATTGTTCGTTCCGAGATGACCGTTGGAACTCACCTGGCTGGCTGCGTGTAAAGACCGGCCTTTGTCAGTTTATCGTTACAAAAATTGTACACAATAATAGTAATACAATGAATAATAATAATAAATACTATATACAAATAGGAGTGTATACATAGAGCGACAGAGAACGAGCAAGCAATAAAAGCCCTACACGCGACCAAACTATCAGGACCCTTTTGCTTTATTAATTTTTTTGCCTCTACCGATTCCATCTCCCTCGTTGAACACAATATTTAAAAACGGATTCGCCCTGGAGCCGTCAGTAATCCACCGCTTTAAAAATGACCCCTGATACAAATTCTATATTCAACCTCTCCCCCGAACCCGTAAAAACCGGTGGCACGAGTATTGGTTGGAGCCGCACTATGCGACATCAGTAGGGGGGTTGTGTTATTGTAAGGTTTACAATAGCGTACAGTGTGTAGCATACTAAAAAAACAAGTATTTCCATTTCACCTGGTCTCCCCAAGCGGCAAAGGGCGCGTGGCAAAAATCTGCGGAGGGGTTGACGTCCCTTTGGATGATTAATTTCGCACGGTTGATCATCGCGGCGGCACAAGCTAAATTAAACGTTACTCTATCTATCCCCGAACCCTACCTAACTGTTACATATATATTTGTGCAAGATAAATTTACATCAAAATGCAATTTGTTTTGTGTTAAAAGGGCGAATAAATATATTTATATAAATGAAATGTTAACCTTAAAGTAGATCAAAGCATAAAAACTTCGATTGAACCGAACTTTCGTATAACATTTAAATAAAACTTAATTTGAATAGTCTCTACATAAATCATGAGATGCGGTTAACTAAAAAATAGACCAAGATTTTTGCATGTTAATCGCGTTGTTTAAAACGGGGTAGCGACTTCTTCCATCGATCAGTTATTGGCGTTCATGTTAAACGTACGAAGTGCATCTTCAATCGAATAATACGTTTGGTTTCAGCGAGACATCCAACGCTAACAACATCAATCAATCACACCCAAGTCGTTAAATAAATAATGCGATTAATATTTCTCGCGTTAACATGTTGAAAGATCAAAAAGGCCTTTAAATAGGATATGGAATTTAAATGACCATTGCTCTTGAAATATTTGTCAAGTGCGCAAAATTCGAACAATGTAACGTTAAATAGGGATTTTTTCGGCAATTGAATTTATTTTTAAATTTTTTTCAAACAAGCCGACAAAACAATACATTCAATCACCAAGTTTATTTTTGAAAAGGAATTATATACACGTATACATATAATATAAAAGATAACGTACTAGGTAAATTGAATTAAGACTGCTGTACTGACATTTTTACTGCGACACAGGTATACGCGGTTTGTAAACAATGATGATATATTTCTTCAAAACAATGAAAGATAATAAACAAAAGAAAATAAGGTAAAAAGTATTTTTTTTTTTTATGTCATTGTGATTTAAAAAAAAAAATGTCTAGATGTACTATATTTAATTCAAACGAGATTATATTAGGGGACCCAAAAGCGGATCTAATTTTGGAACACCTCCCTACGAAAACGAAAGATCCGTTATGTTATATGAATCAGCAACTCTTATTGTTATAGCTAAATGTATTTAACACCCTTAAAATCGCAAATGTCATTCGTTGCGCGGTACACGCGTGGAGGGTGGCACACACAACGGATAGAACAGAAAAAAACAGGTGAACCCTTAGGGTAAGAGGGTGACGTCACACGTGGGTGGCGACGGCCATGTTGTCCGGTAGTAGCACGTGCCGACGGCAGCCGTGTGACCGACCGCCCTCACCATCGCGTCCAGGAGGGTAACAAAAAAAAATAATAAAATAATGGCTTCGTATTTTTTAAGTTACAACAAAAAACTAGGTGTAGATTTTAAATATAGTAGTTATTAATTATTCACCAAAATAACTATTAAGATTATTACTGTTAAAATACTCCATTACTGATATGTACATCTCATATGTTAAACTCATCTTAAGGTTTATCGGACAATATACATTAGACAAACATACCATTTTTTCGCTGAGGTTTCGCCTGTTTCCTCCGTCCCCTTGAGGGTGACAACAACTCGGCGGGCCTGTTCTGGTCCTGTTCCATTTGCGATTCCATTTCTCATCGAAACGGTCTTTATACCATCCGTTCCCATCAATTTCCAAAAATTAGCAGGAGTGTTTACACCTCGTATATTAATTTTAACAGTCACACGTTTAATTCTTATCGCACTATTTAATAATTAACGTACGATAATCAAGTGACAAAAGTTACTATGATATATTTATGCACTTTTAATAGCAGATAATTCGTTAAAACCAGTAAGTCGACTCTGTCAAAGGCGATTTTATTTCTATTACATCAATATTATAATCGGTCGTGATTTTGAGCGCACTAAGATATTCGTTACTACGTGTACTCACTGTGCGATATCGGAGGGTAAGGTACAGGACATTTGCGATCAAGAGGTACTGCTTAAGGTGCTGATTGTAATGTGGTGGGGTACACGATAGGCCTAGGACAACGTTTAGCGGTAGGACTAGAATAATTGCGGCCAAAAATCGTAGGCCGGAAGGACGGGAACGTCGTGCAGTAGGGAGAAAATAATAATAATGAAGAAGACGTGAAGGAGGAAGAACAGAAGAAAAGAGCGTAGTACGCGCGGAGAGCGGGTGAAAAGTGCACGTCGCGAACGTCAAACCACCGGCATTGCTAGTCCGGACTACTGACGGCGCGACGGTGTGCCATCCGTCCGTCGTAACCGTCGTAGACGCCGTTTCCAGGGGTACCGTCTGAGCGCAGCACACGACGAGTCGTGCTCGCCGTACACACGTTGCGCCAGCGGTTAGCTGTCGTTTTACAGATGGTACGTCGGCAGGGGGGGGTAGAGGGATAACACGCGTGTAACAGCAGAGCAAGTATAGGAAAACCGAGGGGGCAATTTATCGCGAACGGTGAATCGGTGATCGGCGTGGGGGTAAGTGGGCGTGTTGTAATCCTTTCACACGATAAAATTGATATCCGTCGCCGTAACCGATGTCATATTACCCTAGAGATTTAGCAAACATCACTGTGATAGGTTACTACTTACACCTACGCGCCCAAGACATATTCGCGCTCTGACACTTAGTATATTTTTTATTGTTTTTTTCGTATTTATTTGTCAAATGCTTTACCCGCACCCGGTCATCTATATGTCTCTATCTATATGTGTTTTAGTGATGACATGGCCATTCTGTCTACTTGCACAGGGAAAATATGGGAGTAGGGTAAAAAGCTAAAGCCCCCCATATTCAGACTTTGCTCCTCTAAAAATGAGAAAAATAATGTGCATTTAAAAAAAAATGTTTTTTAACAAGAGAGATATTTACATTTGGTCTCTTCAACTTTTTCTAACCTACTTATGTATGCAAATTCTATGGTAAAAATTTTATTCGAATAACTTTGAAAAACATCTTTTAAGTATTGATTATTTAATAGCTATGTTGATTTGAAACCTGCACATAGATTATTTCCATCACCTCTATTTTTTTAAATGAATACATAATAATAAAAAACAATGTGATTACATATAAAAAAACTCAGCACAGTGATGTAGGTTTAGAATATTCCAAAAATAACATCCACTCCTTAATATATCCCGATTACAAGTATAAAACATGAGTAATATCTATCATAGTAATTAAATTTAGTATACAAATTAATATTTGATTATTTTAGTATTTTAAATAAAAAATTATTATAGCAACTAAATTTATTATGATTTTGGTATGCAATAATTTAATATTGTAATTTTTACGGATAAATTATAAAAAGTTATAATTATATATAGGAGGATGTTCAGTGAGTAAAAAAACAGGTCAATTGGTACAATGAGAAGAATGGTAGCCCGTTTCCTTACTTACGAACACTATACAGGGTGTTCAGTAAATCAGGAAACGGGTTTCTATTGTTCTCATTGTTACAAACAATGAGAACAATAGAAACCCGTTTCCTGACTTAGTGAACACCCTGTATAGTGTTCGTAAGTAAGGAAACGGGCTACCATTCTTCTCATTGTACCAATNTGCAAACGTAAATTAAAATTGTATGTCGAGATTTAAAAAAAAAAACAAATTAATTTCCTTAATTAGATTAATCTGATCTTCCCTAGTCAATTACACTGGAAAATAATTAACAATTTTTATATGAATTCTATTACCGCAGATTCCAAACCTTCAGATTTTTAAAACCTCGGAGTATTTCTGGAACACATTTAAAAGTTAAGTTGAAAAGGTTAACTTTTCATGCATTAGTTATTATTTTGAATATTTTTCAATGGGCAAGTAAAGAGTCAAATTTTCATATAAAAATAAAAATAAAAAAATGTTTTGTATCACACATTCTTAAAAAATTTATGACAGGTTCAAGTAAATAATGTTTTAAAATTATTGAAATTTATTGATTTTGAAAATCAAATTTTTAGGAGGGAATTAACTTATTTACGAAATTTCATCACTTAAACAAAATTTGTGTACTTAAGATGTGTCGTTGAAAATATCAGTCCAGTGGACCTGAGAAAAGTAGTAACAGAATGAATAATAATAATAAAAAAATAAGTACATCATGGAAAAACTAATACCTTTCTAGATTTGCATCGATTTTAAAAATTATTTTCTTTTAATGTATAATAAAATATTTTTTTAAATATAATTAAAAGACTCACTGTAGCAATCAGTCAGATCCAACATTTTCAGAAAATATTAATTTATTAGTTTCAATAAATAATATAAATTTTCCCAGTAATTCAATACAAAATAAGATATTATATTATTATTATTTATAGAGATATTTAATTAAGAAAAAAATTTTTTTCTATTACTATTAAAAAAAATGTTTTAATATGTTGCTGCTCCTAAAAAATCTCTACATAAAAATAATTAAAATTGTTCTTGATCTTCAATCAATCAAACATACAACTAAATTCCTCAATTTTTCAGTTTAAAAATATTATTAAATATTAAAATTATAACTACATAATTATGTAATATCAAATCAAACTAACAACCATGAATAGTATCACAACGTTAAGAAGCGTAAAATAAAAACTTAATAAGAATAAGCTGGCCTCTTAAAATTTAATCCTATTTTTTAGCTTTAGATAACTAGAATAAATAAAATTGGATACCTAGCCTACCTCAAATAAAAGTTATTCAATTTTACGATTTCTAATTAACAATAGTTTTAAAGATAAATTTTAAACTGAATCCTTGACGGCCAACTGTACAGTAACATCTTCCTATATTTAAATTAACACTAAACTAAATTCCAACCATTATAAAACCTATAAATATTAACGAAACTTTATAAATATAACGAAATTTAAAAATACTAACTTTCGTTACTAACATAAATTTTTCCATAAATATGTTAGAGAATGAATAATTAATAATTAAATTTTAGAAAAATAAAATTAGAAAGAATATGTTTTACTGAAACAAATTCATAAATGGAATTCTTAATATTATTTTTATGATTGTTATCACATCGTTTTTTTTTTTAACAATAAATGTGCTGTACTTACTTTATAACTAATTTTATATAAAAATTTTAATCTTTCTATGTTCAATAATAATTTACACAGTTACTAAGAAAAATTAGTAGACAGTAAAAACAAAAACTAAAATAATTCATTTTTAGGAGTAACAATGGGTTTTTACTATAGACCTGTAAACAAATAGGTCAATAATTAATAGGTCAATGGTTTTTACTATTTGTTTGGTTAATATAATACGGTTAATCTACAAACTATTACCACAGATTTAACCATAAACCAATTTAATAAATTATTTTGTGCTTAAGCTAAACTGATAACTGGGAACGATAAGTAAACTGAAGGTAAATGACGCGTTTTTTTACTGTTTCTTTTTACTTGTTACAGTAGAAATAATTCTGTCACCATTATACCATTATACCAAAATACATTTTTTCTTGGTTCATGACCGCCCCGTGGATTTGGAGGGGATGTACACACCCTTCCATTTCACAAAATTTAATTGTTTTAGTCGGTATTTGAGGATGCTACCAAAAAATCATTAATAAAAAGGTCGTACAATTAAAAGAATATATTAAATCGAAAAAATTGATTTTTACCCCACACCCCGACATCATATATTTTACTTCGGGACGGACCTGTTTCCCCAACAAAAAAATAAATCTACTTAATATTTTTACATAGTGTTGAGCGACTAAGGAAAAAAGTCAATTGTTATAAACAATGAGAACAATAACAATCCAATTCCTTAATTACTGAACTCTATATTAACCCAAAATTATGAATTTAATTTACCTGACTATGTTTTACGTACATCCAATTTTAAGTTCTAAGTTTGTAGGACAAGTCTGACTGATTCATTAATTAAGTTTAGGTTAGATACTTTTATGTAAAAAAAAAAGCAATTGTAGTTTTTAACCATTAACTTGTAAGAAAACATTTTTAAAATATATTCCGAAAGTCCTTTTTATGAAATGTTGCAGTATTACAATATTTCATAATTGTTTAATGATGGAATAAATATGGTATAGGCGCAAATAGAATAAAAAATTTTGGGGTAATAAATTCATTTTCCCTTTACCCTAATTATTTATTTATAACATTGTAGAATATTATGTTTATTGTTTATATTGTTATGTTTATATTATAAATTTATTTTAGGATGGAATACAAATTAATTTTGTACTTCAAAAATTTTTCTTCTAATTACCTTTCTCTAGAGAAGCTTCTTCTAACGCCAGTCTAAACTCCTTAACGTCCCTAGTAATATCCAATGTTTAAAGTGAGAAAAACTAGGAAGGAAGACTATAGTTTCTAAAAAATTGTTCGCGAGCCACACTGAATTGTTTCACCTCAAAGGCCAAAAAGGATATTGATCATAATAAGCAAATATACTCACTTAGAAAAAAAAATGATCTTAATAAAGGAATAGAGTAGTACCTACCTATAATTTTTGTTATTTAATTAAAAATCAATTCGAAATTAATATTATATAAAACATCACTATGTCAGCATCAAAGTTTTAATTTATTATAAAATAAATGCAAAACAGTCTTTTTAAATTTTAAATATTATACTAACCCAACCTATCAAGTTGAGAAAAAAAATAAAAAGTAGCCCATTTATTAATCTATATTTATCATTTCATATTTATATCAAAATATGGAATTTATAAAGTATTCAACAACCTAATAATATATCAACAATCGTAGTAGGTTCTATTAATATAACAAATGTTTATATAACCTCAAATTTTTATTTCTATCACTTTATAATCCTTAATATAATAAGTCTTTTAATTCCATGTATAACTATAAATTAATTACATGTTTTTTAAGCTTACATTAAAAAATTAATTAGTTAAATTTTAGAATAATTCAAAAACAAACTAATAGCAATAATTACGTCATGGTCGAACTGCTCCAAGTAATTATATTGCCATATCATAAAATTCTTATCAATTTTATAATTTAAGTTGTTCTACCATAATTATTTTTTTAACAATTTTGAAATGTTGAGTATATGAATAATATTTTTATATTAATGCTTTCCACTCTTTAGTGCTCAAAATTAAACTTTCCCCCTGTATTTTGGGAATCGACTTGAAGGAGACGCTATAATGAACTACAAATAAAAAGGGGGACTCTGTCCCTCCAAATTTTAACCACTGGTAGTAACTGTATAAGTTGACAAAACTAATTGTATTG